CTGAGGTCTCAGGATGCTTGGAACTTCTTCCATGGCAGCTTGGGCCTGCTAGGCGAAGCATATGCAGAGAACAAGCCGGAAGCCACATAACTTTCTCTGCCCTGGCCACAAAAGGCACATGGGGTCACTTCCACTACACTCCGCTGACCAGGAGCCACAAGGCTGACCCGGTCCAAAGGGTAGGGACCTAGACCCCACATCTCAAGGGGAGGAGTGGTCAATATTTGTAGCCACATTTTCAAACCTCCATAGCGGAAGGCTCAATTTCTGTACTGTCTTTGGATGGTGATTTGACAATATCTACCCAACCCGCAGCCGGTCTTGGAACCAAAGGCATCCCACACGGACATGTCCTTGGCCCCTGTTCTCCACTTTGCCCTCTCTCTCCTCAAGCTTTTCCCTGTCTGAGTGCCGTCACTGCCACTGCCGCCCCTTCCTCTCCTAGGTCTGGCCGCCCCTGTGCAGAAGAATCAAGGTTTCACCTCCAGACCCCTCCTAGGGTCCCATGGATCCCAGCGTCTACTTCACGTCCATTGCCTCTGCTGGTTCTCAGTGTCCGCAGGTTCCAATAAAGACTAGCTGGGCTGCAGGAAGTCCAGGATCTCCACTGCGGGCTGCTGAAATGAAACGCAGCTCACAAGGCCAAGCGTTTATTTCTCCCAATGGTGTAGGGAGGGTCATAGTCCCCCTCTTGACAAGATTGGAGTCTACTGTTTCTATCCCTCCTCCTCCTACCAGGTTTTGCTGCATGCCTTATCTATTGCTACAGATCAAGTCTGTGTACAACAGAGCTGCCCAGACAGCACCTCTCCCATCACAGATTCGGGGTCAGGTCTCTGGGAAGTGCCCAGCAGTTCCTCTGCCTCTGGGGGTCTTGCGACGCTGCAGTCATTTCAAGGCTTGGCTGGGAGGGACCCCCGTATTAGCTCACCCACAAATCTACTGCGGGCAGGATTCAGTACCTATTGCACGAGGGTCTCACGTCCCCAGGAGGGGTTGGCAGGAGTCCCTCCCAGTTCCTGGCCACACCATGGCAGCCTGCTTCATGAAGATGAGCCAGTGTGAGGACAAGGACGAGGGGGCTAGCAAGGTGGAAGTCACAGCGGGCTGTAACCTCACCGTGGAGGCGCCCTCCCCTCCCTTTTCCATAGTCTGTCCATGAGCAATGAGTCACTAGGGCCCGGCCACGCTCCTGGTGAGGGGACGACGGGGTGTGTGACCATGAGGAGCTGCAGCAGAGTTGTCCGCTACGACTGCTACAGGTGCAGGCAAGGCCCCTCGGCCCTGGCCTTTATGTTTATTTATTTATTTTTCTGGAAGTTGTGCCTCATTTTATTTTAAATTAATTCATGAAGAGAGAGAGAGAGAGGAGAGTGAGCTCTTGTTGCTGGGCTAAAGGTGGGGGTAGGGAACCCAGATCTCCCACATGGGTGGCAGGAACCTGAATACTTAAGCCATCACCTACTGCCTTCAGGATGCAAACTAGCAGGAAGGTAAAATCCGCAGTGGAGCCAGAACTTGAACCCAGGCTCTGTGGAATGCGACATAGGCATCTTAACTGCTAGGCCAAAACCTCTGCCTGCGGCTTTAGTGCGCTGTCCTCAGTCAGTGACAGTGTGGCATCGCTAAGCCTGGCCACAGACAGCTATGTGTTGTTGGGGAGTGGGTGACAACTACGGAATAAAAAAATCTTTCATTGTGATATGTCATCTCTCTTCTCTCTCTTTTTTTTTTAAAAAGATTTATTTATTCATTTGAAAGTCAGAGTTACAGAGAGAGAGGAGAGGCAGAGAGAGAAAGAGGTCTTCCATCTGTTGGTTCACTCCCCAACTGGCCACAATGGCTGGAGTTGTGCTGATCCAAAGCCAGGACCCAGGAGCTTCCTCGGGGTCTCCCATGCGGGTACAGGGGCCCATAGACGTGGGCCATCTTCTAGTGCTTTCCCAGGCCATAGCAGAGATCTGGATCGGAAGTAGAGCAGCCAGGACTTGAACGGGCGCCCATATGGGATGCTGGCACTGCAGGCAGCAGCTTTACCCACCATGCCACAGTGCCATCCCCCCCATTCCATATTTTACTTATTACCTTTCTCATACAACTTTTTTTTTTTTTTTGCATGTGTACCTATTTCTTAGGGAATAAAAAGAAACAGGTAAAATGAATGAAGAGTGAAGAAGCAAGTGACAGCTTAATTCAGGAAGATTTCGAACAAACCCCACAGGAAGGCCCGGGGCTCAGAGGGGTCCTAGGTCCTGCGCTGAAGGAGGGGCGTGAGTGACCCGCAAGCACCAGGGAGCACTTCGAGTCTTCTGGGGCTGCAGGTTTTCCAGGCCGCACAGCCCTGGCTTTTCAGGGAGGGGAACTGTAAGTGCTGTCTCTTGGGTGAGGTGCCAGTGCCAGAATGCTGGCGGGGGGGGGGGGGGGGGGGGGAGGCTACCTTGCAGAGGCTCTGCCCGAGCCCCTCTGGCCTCTCTCACTGGGTCCCCAACGCCCTGCCTTTTCCCCAGTGTGCACTCTGTCCTCACAGGCTCCTACCACAGCCTGCAAGCCCGCTCCGATCCCCGCCTTGGCACGCGCCACCTTCGTAACTGTCAGCAGTGTTCAGATAATGCAACAGCACAAGATGTTACTTCTGTATTGTGATCATCCATCTCTTACGAGCAAAACAAGACAAGCCTCATTCCAGACATACCAAGAGGATGGAAGAAATGCTGTGCCATGCAGAAAACACTGGCCTTCCCGGGAGGGTGACTGGGAAAATGCCCCTTGTCTTCTGCTTTCCTGTGACTTTGACCCATCTTTGGTTTTGGTGGTGCCGGGCGCTGGCACAAACCACATCACCTGAGAGCTTGCTAGAAACTCAGTCCTGAGACCAACTCCAGACTCCAAATCTGCAGTTTAACGAGGTTCCCAGGGATTCTCATCTCAAGCTTTTAACAAACACTGACTACCCACTACAATCACCTGTGCACAGCACCACTAAAAATCCCGAAGCTGGGGTCTCCACCCCAGGGCTTTAAAGATTTATTTGCTTGAGAGGCAGAGTTACAGCAGAGAGGAGAGACAGAGAGAAAGGTCTTCCATCCGCTGGTTCCCTCCCCAAATGGCCGCGAAAGCCAGAGGTGAGCCTGTCTGAAGCCAGGAGCTTCTTCCGGGTCTCCCATGTTGGTGCAGGGGCCCAAGGACTTGGGCTACCTTCTACTGCTTTCCCAGGCCACAGCAGAGAGCTGGATCGGGAGAGGAGCAGCCAGGACTAGAACTGGCGCCCATAAGGCATGCTGGCGCAGCAGGCTGGTGCTTCACCTACTATGCCACAGCACCAGCCCCGCCCCAGGAGTCTGGCTGCGGAGCAGCCTAGGCATCAGTTTTTGGTTTTGTTCCTATCTTTTGAGGATCCAAGAGTTCGAGGCCCATCGCCTGATTCAGCAGCTGCCATGGCTGGGGTCTGGTTAGAAACGCAGATCCACAGGCCCCAGCCCACACCTGCCGAATCAGAAACTCCTGGGATGCAAGCCGGCAATGTAGTTTAACTAGCCCTGCAGGCAGGTCCGCCTCGGGGTGGGGGGAGGGGCAGGGATGAGCCTTTCTGAGTTTCCACCTGCTGCTGCTGCTGGTTGGTGGGAAGTGACGCAGGTGGTGCTTGTCAGCCCCACGGACTCTGCTCACCTGCAGGAGCCCACCTGCTGTGCTTTCCTAGGTGCGGCCTGGAGGCTCCTCTTCCGGAGCCCTCCCCAGAAACCGCTGCCCGCAGCTACCCGCGTGTACCCCGTCACTTCTAACGCACTGTGCTCTTGTCCAGGCCCAGCTCCCATTCAACTCTGAGCTCAGCAATTGCCTTTCCCGTGGAACCGGCCCCCGCGGGCTGCTGGTCAGTGAAACTCCCCGCCAACGCGCGGCTTGACCGGCGAGTGGCCTCGCCGGGCCGCGCTGGCCGCGTCGCTGTCTCCCCTCGTGACCGTGATCACACCTGCGGCCGTCCAAGGTCTTTCCCCAGAGGGCGAGGCCAGAGCCCGGGGAAGGGACAACAGTCGTCCTCCTTAGGCGACTGCCTCCTAGCTCCTGAACCTCGCGCCTAGTCCCGGAACCCCGGCGGGTCACCAGGCGACTGCTCAGCAAAGCAGCGCTCACCTCCTCCACGCCGTTCCCCGCGGGGCACGCCTCCAGTGTCCCCCACCCACCCTCCGCGGGACGCACGGTAGGTGAGGCGGGCGCTGGCGCGGGATTCTCCCGGTGCGGGAGAATGGGCTGGGAGCGGACGTGGCAACGAGCCCCATCCCGGCATGGCTTGGGGCTGGGCGCTGCGTAGGTCCCCGCAAAACCGTAGGTCAAGGGAGCCCAGGCTAGACCTCAACAGGGGCCTGCGGGGTCCGCGCCACGGATCCCCCGCCGGAGGCTCCTGTTGTCACCCACTCTGCTTTCGCTTTTCACCTAAACAGCATCGGGGCTCCCCGGTGGCGCTGCCCGCGCTCGCTTTGGTGGCACAACGGCGAGCCCAGCCCCGGCCCAAGGCGCGAGTAAGGAAGGCCTGGCGGCCGCCTTGGGCGCACCTGCCCGGGGGCGGGGCGCGGCGCGGCGGGCGCGCAGGTCTCGGCCCGGACGCTGGAGGGGGCTGTGGCTCTCCGGCCGTGGCCGCCGCCGCTGCTGGGCTCGCGGCGCCCGGGCTCCCCCCGCCGAGGGGCCGGCCCAGGCCCGGGGAGGGGCAGCGGCCGCGGGCACTTCCCGCTCGCCGGCCTCGGAGGCGGCGGCGGCTCGGGCGCAGGGCTGCGGGCGCTCGGCTTGGGCGCGGGGCGGGGACGCGGCCGCCGCCCGCTCTGCGCCACTCCTCCCCGCGCGAGTGGCGCTCGCCCCGGCGTCGAGGCGGCCATGGCGACCCGGAGCCGGCTCCCCACCCACCCCGCCTGCTCCGCCCTCCCCTCCGCCCCGCGCCACCTTTGATGGCTCGGACCTCGGCCGGCCGCCGCCAGCCCCGCTCGCGCGCCCGCGCCGCCGCCGCCGCCGCCCGCGGGTATTAATAGGCAGCGCCGCCCCGCAGGCGCAGCCCGACCGCCGCGCCCTCGGCAGCAGGGGCTGGGAGCAGCGGAGCCCGGAGCCCGGAGCCTGGAGCCCTAGCCCGGGAGTCGGAGCCGCCAGAGCAGCCGGAGCCGCGGGGATCTGCAGGCGCTTGGGAGGTAAGAGGCGCGCGGCGAACAATGACCGCGGCGCGCGGGGCGGGGGCCGGCGTGGTCCCGGCCGCGGGCTGCAACTTGTGCGAGTCCGGGCGCCGGAGCGCACCGCCCCAGCGCGGCGGAGGTGGGTGCGTGGCCCGCAGGGTCCCGCCTGGAGCAGGCGGGCGGCGGGGCCGGGCCCGGGCAGCCTCGGCAACAATAGCGGGAGCTCGGGGGCTGCAGGGCCCCGCGCCGCCCCTGGCACCCCCACCCTCCCCTCCGCGCACCCGGCTGCGGGGCCCCGGGGCGGCCCCGCTCGCCACCCCGGCCCCGCGGCGCCCTTCCCCCGCTCGCTCCAGGCCCACCCTGCCCGGTGACAGCGCCGGACGCCGCTTCCGGACCTCGGGCCGCAATCTCGGCTCGGGGCCGGGGGCCGCCCACGCAGGGGTCGCCCACGCGCGGGCGTGAGGCTGCTGGTGGGTGACAAAGGGACACGCCCTCTGCCCAAGTTCCCTGCAGACAGGGCAAAGTTGGGGCTTTGAAAAAAAAATCTTTTTATTTGTAAAGGCACGAACAGATTTATTTATTTATTTTTGGGGTGGGTGGTGGAGCCTTCCAAAGCTACAACTTCCGATTGCGGTTTTACGATTTAAGTTCCGCAAACTTTAGCCGGACCCCCAGCGTGCAAGCGAGCGTGTGCGTCCCGGACCCAGGCTGGGTTTCGCCGGCGGCATTGGAGGCCAGCGGCCCTCGGTGGTTGGGTGGGGTCCCCCCGAAAGGAGGGAGGTGAGGCTCTTAAAGAGGCGAGGCCGCTGCCGAGAGATGGCTCCAGAGACAAGGGGAGATGGCCCCTCATCTGGAACAGTTTATCAGCAGCCTCCGCCTCGCTCTCCCTCCCCGCCCCCACCGGCTCCCTGGAGTCCCGGCGGCCCCTGGCTGTTTCATTTCCTCGTTGTTAGGGCTGTTCTGGTCGGCTCCCCAGGTTTGACTTGCTCAGCCCCCGCTCTTGGAAGGGGGGGTACCCCGGCGTTCCCCCACCGCATCTCCTCTCTGGCAGGCATCTGTCTCCCAGCCAAACCCTGGGCTGGCGGTGGTTGTGTTTTAAGGTGCTGTGTGCATGGTGGGGTGACTGCCAAGCCCACTTCAGAGCATCTTCCAGCATTGTCTTGCTTTTCGTAGTCTGAACAAGGATTGGAGGAAGCAAGGCCTTTGGAATCCTGAAAGCTTTTCTGGGGAGCTGCCTGAAAAAGCCTCTCCGTGGGGAGCATGCGCCACGCCTGCTGAAGTCCCTCTGTCTGTCTCCCTAGCTGTCTGTCCACTCTCCCTCCACGGTGCTCCTGCTGCTGGCCGGTTTAGTTCTGCCCTGGCACACGGGCTGGTTTGGGGGAGATGACAGCGACAGTGCACTTGATCTGTGAGCATTGCCTCCACATGGCTCACTTTATATTCCTGCAGCATTGGCCTGCAGCACGGGCACCAGTGCTGGAGTTCCTCCAAGCACAAGGAAACGTTTGTGTTTCTAGAACGTCTGGCTGGTAGGGCTGCTTCTGGTTAAAATAAATAGCAGCATTATGGGGCGGTGGCTGGCTGGCGGGGGAGGGGGGATCTGTGGTGGAGGTAGTGAGTAGACGCCTGCCTTCCTCACTTGGTGCCTCTAAGCTGCTCCTGTTTCTTCGCCGTGGCCGGGAAGCTGCTGTGAACTGAGGGATGAGATACAACCTTGCCCTCGGGGACCCAGGTTCCATGGCGCGCTCCCCTGCCGGTTGGGGTTTGCTGTTGCGGGAGAAGTTCTGTCATAGTGGGAATCCTTCTGAAGTTGAGACACACTCACCCTCTTCCCTTGGGTCTGTAGAGGGTCATAACTTGAATTGATGCAGGGTTCTAAGGGAATCACGTTATAAATAGAATCATACTTGGCAGGCAGGCATACCTAAAGAAGATTTTTGAATCGCTGTCTTGGACAGATCTCTTGCTGGGTTCTTGCAGTGTATGTCAGAATTGCTGTAAGACCACCAGGAACCTGAATGAATATTTTTTGTTTGACTTTTCATTAAGGAAAACAGTTTTTTTTTTTAAGATAAAAATCAAAGGTAGTATTGAAAGGGTTAGCTTTAAAGAAACAGTAGCCTCATGAAAATGGAGTACACAGAGTTTAATTCATTTGGAAAATGATAGACATTATGGGGAGGGTGGTTGTGATAAGCATCAAAGAACACCACCTTTTGGTTTGCACATTGTGCTGCAGTAGGTTAAACCACCCTTCATCTCCGGTTTGAATCCCAGCTCCTCCAAAGACACCCTGGAAGGCAGCAGTTGATGGCTCAAGTTCTTGGTCTCTGCCAGCCACTTGGGAAAACCAGTTGGAGTTCCTGGCTCCTGCCCTGGCTGTTGTGGGCATTCGGAAAGTAAACCAGTGGATGGAAGCGCTCGCTTGCTCTCTCTGTCCCACTGGCTTTGAAATAAATGAATCTTGAAAGGAGGTGGGGGAACAACTTCCTCCACCCTAGAGGAGGTCGGAGACTGTGGAGGAGTGATAAGCTAGTTTTTGCACACAGAGTATGCTTAGGAAAATGACATTGAGATGTCCCCAGAGGATGGGAGACATTTTGTGGATTGTAGGTACTTAATGTTTTGATAGCATGGTGAACTTGGCATTTGAAACAAACCCTTTGTAACCGATCTTGCTTATTGCAGAGAATGGCTCAGTGCTTTTGAGAAAGGCTCCTTCCCCTCTCGCTGGAGATGCTACAGAGCAGGGTGACCCTCACCATCCTGTAATACAGTTGTTCCATTCTGTTCTGTTTTGGGTGGATGGCTGTTCCCTGTGTTGGTTGCCATTTCCCTGGGAGAGCAGAGGGATGGATGGCTAATCCGCTTCTTAAGGCTGTGTCTCTCCTGTGGTTTGGTGCTTTTGTTGGAAAGGAGAGCTCTCCAGGCCTGGGTGGTGAATGCCAAGTGGTGGATCAACTTCTTGTTCTTGCTGTTTGCTGGCCAGAATTTATGCTGTGACCTGCTCAGTGATGTTCCTCGGTCCTCGGCTCCTGCCGTGGTGACTCAGGTTTGACTGCTAACCTCGTTAACCATTTCCACATGGCCACAAAGCGCAGAGCCAAATGGTTTCTATTTGGATGACTTGAAATTGTGCTTTCCCCAACCCCTTCATCCCCAATGCAGCCTTTGTTTTTAATCATAAGCCCCTGGAAATTTATTTTATTTTTTTAATGTGGAGAAACTGACTTCTCATAGGTTGCCTTTGCCCTGGTTTAAGTCAGTTAAGAATATTTTGCCAAGTGGCTACTTGGAGCAAAAGTGGACAATTGATACTTTCTGAAAACATAGTGCCTTAAGTTTTTTCTACTTGGCACCTAAGCCAGAGAGAGCCATTGATACAATGTGACTAAAACTGAGCTTTATGCGAACTTTGAACCCAGCCCCGCAGTTTATTTTATTGCAAGATGGAAATTAGAGAGGATAAACTGCACGATTTGCAATTAATGTGGGAATTTATTACTTAGAGTGATTCAGTTCCACGTGTAAAACTCATTTGTGCATACATTAAAAAAAAAGCATAGGCCAAGCTAATTTCCCTTTAATGCTGCTATAGGTTCTTAACCCAAAGAGTAAACTTCACTTTATGTTCTGAAGACTTTTGGTGGAATGTTTTCCACAAAGGTGTCTCATTAGTTCTGAAAGAAGACTTAGATGTCCACCGTTACGGTGAGTTTCAGTTCTGATCTCGAGCTGTTTCGGGTCTGGTGTAGTGCCTGGAACATAGCAAACCCTGGGTAAATGCCTGTTGAGTGAGTAAAGACCTCCAGCTTGGAATGTTCTTTGAAATTAGTCTTCAGAGTTCTTAAAGGAAACTTGACATCAGCACTGATAGGTTGCAGTTCTGGGAATTTGAAAAATTTGCGATTTGATTGTGTTTCATTTCATTCTCGTTTAGTATTTTAATTCTCAAAGTTGGGTAACACTGTAAAAAGATAGACTTCCTATTTTTTTAAATTTATTTATTTGATTTATTTATTTGAAAGGCAAAGAGAAGGAGAAAGGTCTTCTATCTGCTGGTTCACTCCCCAGGTGGCTGCAATGGGCCAGGGCTGCTACAATCCAAAGCCAGGGGCCTGGAGCTTCTTTCAGGTTTTCCACGCAGGTGCAGGGTCCCAAGCACTTGGGCCATCTTCCACTGCTTTCCAGGCCACAGCAGAGAGCTGGATTGGAAGTGGAGCAGCCGGGACTAGAACCAGTGCCCATATGAGATGCCAGTGCTGCAGGCAGAGGCTTACCCACTATGCCACAGTGCTGGTCCCCTTCTCCCTTGTATTTCTTGCCTCTGTTTACCCTCCGCCCTCCCTACTGTTCCTCTGCCCTTCCTGGTCCAAGCTCTCCCCCAGCTTCTTAGCAGTTTCTCTCATTAACATTTTGGATTCCCATGCAAGGCTTATGCCCTTTCACAGGGCACAGCGCAGTGCTTCAGTGCACACACGCTGCGTGAGCCGGTCAGGCCGGCTGCTGGACTTCCTATCTCCTGCTCAGCAGTGGTCCAGGGTCTGTTAGGCTGAGATGTGTCTCTTCCCCTGTGGCCATCCAGCTTGTTCTTGGTTTTGACTTCTCACAGATAAAGCTGTTGTGGATTTTCTGTGCACAAGTCTTTGCATCGAGGAACGTCTTCATTTTTCTTGTGGGTCTTACAGTAAACATAAATCTGGTATATGCTTAGTTTGACGAGAGATGGGCGTCTGGTTTCCAAGGTGTGTGTTCTGTTTGCCGTCCCCAGAGCCCTGTAGATTTCCACTTCCTCTCATCCTCCCAGTCGGGCGTTTCCATTGTTGCCGCCAGGTGCACAGAGCAGTGTCTCACTGCAGTTCTCCTTGATGTTTCCCCAGTGGCCTGGGATATGTTTTCTTGTGGTTATTTATTTTTGACAGGCAGAGTGGACAGTGAGAGAGAGAGACAGAGAAAGGTCTTCCTTTGCCGTTGGTTCACCCTCCAATGGCCGCCGCAGCCGGCGCACCGCGCTGATC